TCTCCATTCTGAGTTCCACCTGACTTATCAATACCTAAATATGATTTACCAGGGAGAAGGGCCTAAGATGGAAGGCTTTGTGGCCAAGCTGTACCAAACCTTACCTAATTTCCTGTTCACAAAGGAAGCTCCCAGCTAGCAGGGAGGCAGTTTCATTTTTGCATAGAAAGTTAGGTGTAATTAGGTCTACCTAGGCCTTTCTCCCAGGTGAGCCATATTTAGACTTATCAATACCTAAATATGATTTACCAGGGAGAAGGGCCTAAGATGGAAGGCTTTGTGGCCAAGCTGTACCAAACCTTACCTAATTTCCTGTTCACAAAGGAAGCTCCCAGCTAGCAGGGAGGCAGTTTCATTTTTGCATAGAAAGTTAGGTGTAATTAGGTCTACCTAGGCCTTTCTCCCAGGTGAGCCATATTTAGATGTTGGTAAGTGTCTGTCTGACAGGTGGAACTCCAAGAATGGACAATTATAGCGTTTGAAGTCCAGAAATCAAAACTCCTATGCCTATTTAGAAGGGGTTTTTTTAAAGCGAATATTTGTGCAGACACCTTGCTTTCACAGTTATCTAATTTTCTTCATTCTCCTCATAAGAAGAGGACATCTTTATACCTTTTCCTGTGTAGAAAACAAAAAGGACAATTTTTTCTCTCTAAAGCTGGTTGTATGTGTCTGTGCATGCATGCACACACAGGAGCATGTAATTAGGTAGAGCCCCAATTGAACTGTCATTTGTGATGGCTGAGGAAGCTTCCATATGAGGGGCCATTTATACATGGGAAGGCATAGGTTGGTGTCATCTGTGGGACTGCATCATGACAGATGGGCAGAATCTGAGTGGAAATATTACCAGCTCTGTCTCTTCCACGTTCAGCTTGAGATGTTGCTTCAGTGAGTGAATATCAGCCAAGTGAGATATTTAGTTAATTGATATCTGCAAGGATTTCTGTCTGCAGTGCTAAGAAGACATGGCTGGATTCCGATAAATAGCCAGTATTGAAAAAAGTTCATAAAATCAAGTGTGCTATTGTATGACTCCTATTTCCGATGACAAAATCCATTTCTAAAGACGACATGTCTTCAAATTCCATTCCTGACACTGAAAAATCTATTACTGTGCCAACTGCAGTTATTTAGAACGGTTACTGCTATGAAAGCTTGACACTTTGCAGTCAAAGTATTCCAAGAAAGTCTCACTGAGAACAGTGTTTGAGGACTTTAATTATCTTTTCTGAATCTCCCCTATTTCATATGGAGAACTGCCACGAATAAATGAAAGGGGAAAATATGACTTGAGCCAAAATGCTTACAAATGTTAACTAATCCTCTTTCTAATAATTATAACACAGTGTGCTTAATGACTAAATGATTGGTTAAAATTTACCCTTTTCACTTGCTTGGGAAAATTCTTCAAGCAGGTTGTTTTCCTGAAGTTTATATCTTGCTTTAAAATAAATTGTAATGTATTGTTATCCAGTAGTTTTATTGAGCTGGGTGGAGCTCTTATAACTGCTTTTCTAGGAACAGTGATAAATCTGTCATACAGATCCACACTTGTGAGCTATGCTTTAATGCATAGATAGGGTTCTGACATACACAAACTACTCCCATTACTTTCAGGGCCCCAGCAGCTATCTGCCTATTGGGAAAAAAAGTATATTAACTTTTGTGCACCAAACACATAGAGACGGCCACTGAAAAATTAGAAATTTATGTTTGCTTTTCAACAATGCTCATTCTTTTCTGCTTTGCTTGCTCAGACCACATTCCACTACCAAGGAGCCTCAATAAGGAACTTCATGGCACAGTAATTAAACTGCAATACTGCAGTGAAGACTGCTCACAACCAAAGTTCAATCCCAGGCTCAGGTAACCAGCTCAAGGTTGACTCAACCTTCCATTCTTCTGAGGCTGGTCAACTGAGCATCCAGCATGCTGGGGGGAGGAACAGACAGTGTGTAGCCTAATGATTAAAATTATAAATCATCCAGAGAGTGCTTTAAGCACTATAGGGTGGTATATAAGCAGCACACTTTGCTTTGCTTTACCAGGTATGGAAAATAATTATTTTGAAGGGTGGGGATAAGAGGGACATTTTCCTACTGGAACTCTGTTTCATATCCCTTGAAATAAAAAAATAATTCTCTATAGCAGGGGTCGTCAACCCCTGGTCCACAGCCGGGTGTCAGTCCGTGGGCTGGCTGGAACTGGGCCGCAGATACAGATCTCCAACCCCCCCATGGTGGGTGTGTCACACTTGAGGGGGGCATGTCATGCTCACAGTGGTCATGTCACTCTTGCATGAGAGGTGTGTCACGCTTATGGTGGGCGTCACACTCATGTGGGTGTGTATTGTGCCTGTGAGGGCCGTGTCCTGTGAGGGTGTCAGTCCGTGGGCTGGCTGAAACTGGGCCGCAGATACAGATCTCCAACCCCCCAATGGTGGGTGTGTCACACTTGAGGGGGGCATGTCATGCTCACAGTGGTCATGTCACTCTTGCATGAGAGGTGTGTCACGCTTATGGTGGGCGTCACACTCATGTGGGTGTGTATTGTGCCTGTGAGGGCCGTGTCCTGTGAGCGTGGGGGTGCCCCCCCACAAATGAAGCTCGCTCCCTTCAGCTAGTCCACGGTCCCAAAAACATTGGGGACCACTGCTCTATAGGATTCCCAAGGAATCAAGCACTCTAATTAGGGGTGTGGCATATCTCCACTAAAGTTCCTAGAAATATGCCATAAAACAATTCTTCCTACAAACCGTTTCTGAATCTGAAAATGAGAGCGGTCTTAACCGACCAGATAGGCGGGATAGAAATAAATAAATAAATAAATAAATAAATAAATAAATAAATAAGAGCAGTCAAGAAAGGGGCACAGTGATAGTGAGATGTGTATCAGAAAAAAATAATTTAAAAAGGGCACCCCGGCCACCTTGCAATATCGTGGTAAGCTCAACAGAATAACCTGAAGAAAATTTACATGTTTCTCAGAATGAGGCGGAGGAAATGAAGGTTCCCTCATGGGGAAATACAGCTTTATAAGAAACTGGCAAAGTATTAGCTTTTATTTTCTCCTCAGGCTGGATGGATACAGCACTTCCTTCACTTATACCTATTGCAGGAATTACAAGGGGAAAGCTGTAAGCATCTGGAGTAGAGATAAAATATATCTAGTGGGTTGTTGTGAGTTTTCCGGGCTATTTGGCTGTGTTCTGAAGGTTGTTCTTCCTGACATTTCACCAGTCTTTGTGGCCGGCATCTTCAGAGATGGGCTTCCTCAAAATTGAAGCATTTAGGAGTCATAGGGAAGATGCTGAATTGCGTAGAATGCGATTTAGTGCAGTTTTCTGAGAAAGATTCTGAGATGTTGTCTTCTTGATTCCCTAGAACTATAAGCCAACTATTTGCATAATTCGCATATTTTTTTAATTCTACCAGTTTTTCCAGAAGGTATCAGTGTACACCTGCCAGTGCTGCATCTCTCAGAAAACACTGAACCAGCAAGCTTAATTGACAGCCATGAACATGGCTGAAGACCTAAGTGTTTTAATTCAATTTTTAAAGAACTAAACACTTAAAGCTATGGGCTGGATGAATGGCTCTCTCAGTTCCTGTTTCTGTCACATAGGACTTTGAGGAAACTACGGTAATTTCCATCACATTAATGACGTGATTCTGTGAATTTTGGAAATTATTTTTCATTTATTTATTTATTTTAATTTCTTTCCTGCCTTTCTTCCAGTTAAGGGACACAGGGCAGCTCACAAGTTTTAAATGACAACAACAGTGAATTAGGGCATTAAGAAACAATTCAGTACATACAGTATTAAAACAGTTCAAACTGTTAAAACACACATAAAATAATAATAATAATCATAGCCAGCACACATTAAAAAACAACAACAGCCCAATTTAGTTGTTTAAAAGGTGGTCTTTCACTGTTGCCAGAAGGACAAGAGGGAGGGAGGCAACCAAGAGAAACCAACATAATTTCCTCCATTTAACTTTAAATGCTGGGGAAAAGAGTTTTTAAAAATCAGTGCATGAAAGAAAGTCAGTGCTTCTGTCTTGATGAGTGTATTTGTCATTTTCTTGTTCTTCCCAATTAAACAATCGAAAAGACATTTTTATCCACTTCTTTTCTTTTTTAAAGTAACAATAGAAATTACTGTTATTTCTTGGAACCAGGTCACTGTTATCATTTCCATTGTTCCGATCACTCAGGTAATTCAGCACGCTGCATGTTACTAATGTGTTGCATAATCACAGTCAAATTACTTGAAAAAATATAAGGAGATAATCTCTAGTTCCCTCTAGTGACCAATACAATACAAATGATAAAAATCAAGAAATTAATCCCTTGCACTTAGGTCTATTAAAATAATGACATAAAGTCTGAAAAATATCCATCCAAATGCCTTTTGAAATGTTGTACAATGCCCTTTAGAAGTAACTTTAGAAAGTAAATTGCTTTTACTCATTACATCTAAGAAATAACTATGTAACTACTAGTTACAGTACCATTTGCTTACGGTAGGTAGTTTTTTGTTATAACAACATGTAATCAGTTACTTCCAATGTCTGATTCTAATTTCAGTCAGCAGGAAAAAGGCACATATGTGCCTTTAAAAGTCCAGAATATGAAGTCAACAAGAGTGCAGAGCTCTGCCATTCTTCTAAGATCCGATGTTAATAGTAGTGGAATGTGGGTTCAGAGGCTGGCTTCGATCTGTTTCATCCATGTTCCTTCACTCTCTTACGTCCTGTACTAAAGAAACACATTATGGAATACATTTATCTTGTGAGCCTTAATTGTAACCTTAATCAGTATGTTTGTGCTAACAGTAGCACAATATCCATTCTCTAGGCATTCCCGGACCTGGTTATCTCTGGGATAATGATTGTGACCATGCCAGCACTTACACACAGGCAAACTTGTAAACCTGCTATGTGGTTCAGTCAGTAACTGCAAGTTGCCACAAAGCAGAAAATTATAACTTAGGGTTTTGTTTTCAATTCAAGAGGAGTCCTTCTCAGAAGTATGCTTACCCAACGTACGAAATGTTACTGTTGAACATCATAATGAGTGGTGAAACATTTAGATATCACAGCATTACTCTGGTGACTGAACAGAGAAGTGGGGAGGATGAAATATCATGCGTTAGTATCAGGAATGAGTTATTGCCCTTTTTGCTGTTGAATATTGAACCATTTTTTATCTCTATTAGGGCTTTCTTTGACAAGCTAAGGTTGAGTGGGTGCTGGGTGCTGCTGCTGAGCATCAAGAACGTGTTTCTACTCAAAGAACAGTTTGCTGGATTAACTCTGAAATTACGAGAAATGTATACGTATAATTGATTCAACTCCAATATTCAGTGACTGTGAAATCCTACTTGGAGGAGAAAATTGTATTCCTGTGTGAACGCAAAGAGGAAAATAGGGATGGGAGATGCTAGAGGCTTCCTGTGATCAGCCACTAAGAAAAAATTATCTCATATGACTAGATGAGCCCTACAACTACCTTGTCCCATATGTATGGAGTATATTACTTTACTAAATTAATTCCTCCATGAGTTAGGAACAATTGACTCTTCTATTTGGGTGCTGCTTACATATTTTTAATATGAGTTTTTTTCAAATTTAATTTGTTCAGAAAGCATGTGAAGATCTCCAAAGTGGTGAAAGCTAGAAACATGAAAATTCTACACAGATACAATTAATTTCCTAACTTAAATTATTGGCTGGGTTATATCTCAAAATCAGTTTTCTTAGAACTGCCTTTGGGTGGATGGATGCGTTTGCTTGTTTTTTCTCTCTTGAAATATCTCCAAAATAGAAAGAACTTAAAACACAATGTTTGGAATGGATACTGCTGATCTCTTTACTTCTGTTACAGCATTGAAAAGATCTCGGCTTTTGGGACAAACAAACATCCTTTTCTGTTTGTTTGTCCCAAAAGACCCCTGACATGGAAAGAGCTACAACCACAAAGATTGAATGGATTTAATAACTATTCCAGATTAAATGCCCAAGACTGATTATGATTAGCAGACCCTGTTGAATGGAATGAATTCTGTGATGCGATCAAAGTTTTCACACACAGAATGAAGTTGCCCTCACCTGGTTTTTAAGGAGTGCTTCACACCAGAGTTCATGCTCCTCATTCAGCAGGATTCCCTGACTCTCAGTCTGGAACATTTTTCAGGAGTCACCATGGAGACTAAAACAGCTTTTGAGCATATTTTATATATGTTTCACTTGTGATCCAAATCCGTGATTTAGTTTAGAGGACCATGTTGGTGGCTTCTAGAGGGGTTTCTACAATATTAAAGTTTTAGAGGCTTTTCTGAGAGAGTTTCTGGAAATTATAGAAGTCTGGGGAAAATATAGTCGTTGGTACATTAAATAAAATAATAAGCTGTTTAAGAAGGTTTCTGAAATTATCTGTAAAAAGCAGGAGCTTTAACATTATAAAATCTGTGACTTCATGCAGATATTGCAAACCCTGTGAATCTGAAGCAGCCCAAAGGAAAATAAAGCCCAGTATCTATCTTTCATTTCTCTGAAATTCCCTTGCCAGAAGTTAAAAGCATGAAGTTCACTTGTCTTTTGTCTTTGATACCAGTTGAATGTTTTGCCCCCCCTAAGGGTGAAATTTGGGTCAGATCACTTTACTTCACCTGACTTCTCAACTGGGTATCTAAGACAACTGAAACTAAATAGGCAAGTGGAGCTTGAAGTAAGGATTTGTATTATACTAGCTGAGAATAAACGTATTTTCAACAGTGCGATCCAACTTTCTATTCCACTGTGCTGTTAAATGTTTTAATTGATAGTTTTAATGGTGTGGTTTTACTGATTGATGCTGCAGTTCTCTACCTACTTATTTGGAAGTAAGCCTTACTGAATTCTGTTAGACCTAATTCTGAAAATGTGTGTATAGGACAATATTCAACATGGCAATACTCCTCTTTAGCTTTTTATTCTTTTTTTATACTTGCATTTTATACAAACATACAGCTTCTAAATTAGAACTTATAGCCATATCATACTGAGCAGTATAGGAGGGAGTTTCTGAGTTTGGGTGCAGTGACAGAGAAGGTCCTACTCCATATCCCTACCAAACGCACCTGTGAAGGTGGTGATGATGAGCACAAGGCCTCCTCTGATGATCTTAACACCTCATAAAGATGGTGTGCTCAAAAAGGGAGATGTGGTCTTTGAGATAGCTTGGACTCCAGCTGTTTAGTGCTATAGAGGTTAAAACCAGGACATTGAATTGTGCCTAGAAATGAATCAGCAGCCAGTGGAGTTTCTGAATACTTTACAAGGGCAACTCCACACAGAGTGCATTACAGTAATCCAGCCTGGATATAACTAAGACATCAAATATTTTTAAAAACATAAGTGGTGGGATATTAAGGACAAAATTCCATAGAAATTTGTCCTTAATATCCCACCACTTATGTTGATGTTGGGGCTCTCACTACCTTGGTGCATGCGCTCGTAATCTCAAGATTAGACCACTGTAATGCGCTCTATGTGGGGCTACCTTTGAGGCTGCTGCGGAAACTACAGGTGGTGCAGAATGCGGCGGCCAGATTACTTAGTGGTGTGAGAAGATACCAACATATCTCGCCCACTCTGGCCGCATTGCATTGGCTGCCCATCCGATTCCGCATCAACTTCAAAGTGTTGATGCTCACTTATAAAGCCCTAAACGGTTTAGGACCTCGATATTTGGCAGAACGCCTATTCCCACCAAGTTCTACCCAGATCACCCACATGAGTCAGGAGGTGAGGCTGAGGAGCCTGACGCAG